TAGGAAAGGGGGAAGAATAATCCTAGAGAATCAATAAACTTCCAGTTACTTGCGGATGTAATCCACAACTTCTGTTAACTGTAACTAGAAGTCCAATCCTGTGTAACTATAAGACGATACTATATTCACGATCTACAAATAATGCTAAGCATTCGTGTTTCATGCGTTTACCTCAGAGCGACACCAGCCAACGTTCCTAGACATTCTAGAATTATGTCGATCTTTCAGCGGCACGTTTTATCTGCAACGCAGCTCTAACGACATTGCCCCGAGTGATGATCCCCACCTTCAACATTAAAACAGAAGTAAATAAGAGAGTTGCCTATTATTGAAGGAGATTTGAGAAGTTAAATTACGCTTTAAAGGTTAAAAAAATATGAGAAAAAGAAATAATCCTACCAGCTTGCTATCTGCATCTACTACTGGCAATCGACGATATTTTGTTTCAAGTAACAATCTGAACATTAGAAAAACCAAGTTAAAACAATAATTTCAACTTTTGGCAGCCACAGGTTAATTTTGTAAAAGTGGTTAAATTGTTCATTCTGCAGTTTTTACTCTAAAATGTGTCATTTAAACGTTGTTTTCTGGTAAATCAAAATGGAAAAGTTTTGCATAGCTTAAGTACACAGAGTGAAGATGTTTGAAATAAAAAGAACTACTGAAAAATATGATGCTTTCCCCTATGTAAGAGGTTGTGAGAAATCAACGTAACAAATGATGATTGAACAAAGTCACAGAATAACGTGAAGGCACCAGCAGTCGAAGTCTAAAAGAATTAAAAGTTACAAAAATCAGAAATAAGAAAGTCTAATTAATTGAAACTATAAAATTAAGAAGATTGAAGGAACCATGAATTATATTGATTCAGATGATAAGATGCAGAAGAGAGAGATATCAAAAGATTACCTTGCGGCATCTTCTAAATTTGAAGTTTCACGAACAACTAGTGGAGCAGGTGTCATCAGGTCACCCACAACTTTACCATTTGTTTTACTGAGCAGTTTCTGTATCTCATTGAATGTCTGCAACCACATTCAGCAAAAATCTGCTTTTACTTATTTTATTTTACTAACAAATGGTGGTGAACCACCGCTCCACATAATTCATGGTCATTATCATGTGACTCTTCTTTCTCCAAATAATTTTACTTAATCAGGGATGTCAATGATAGAGTTAATTTCTGTGACCACATAGCTATCTCTATTTTAGAGCACTCTCAAAATAATTTTCATTAACAATAATCAAGTAGCAGTAGATCATTTTGAAGATATATGTGTTTTCATGTGGCATGTTTGTGGAATTTCGGTGTTTCTAAAAGAAATGCTGCTGCTTACATGATCATTACAAAAGAAAATAGCAACTGAATGACACGATCAGAGATATAGAAAAATGGTAATATGGTTGGATTTTCTGAGTCATATTTAAATTTATAACGAGGAATACTGAAAAGATTAATCCAATAATTTTTGGAGAGCAAAAAAATATATATATCAAAAATAAGTTTTCTGATGATTTGGGTTCAAATGACTGAAACCCGACCAGAACAGTTTGGTTGGATTGATTGGGTTTGCTTAGTCATTGCATATTGTAAACATTCCTAATATCTGCAACAAAATATCCAAAAGATAATTAGGGCATTGCTTACATACTTTCCACGAACTATCCACATCAGGAAATAGATTAGTATCACATTGGGTACCACCTAATAGCCAAAGAAGGGGAGAAAAAATTATTAAGATAAGCAATGGAATACAATAGCATACAAAGAAAATGAATGACGAACTTTGAGCAAACATTAATAAACATGAGGCATTGAACTTTCTATCAGCTTGACAGTTACAGAATCCATAACCCAGTTTCCAACTATTACTCAAAAGATGTTCATTTTAATATAGACAAAATACTACACTATGGATTTATTGATGATACCTGATAGAGAGACTGTGTGCACATACAAAGATGTGAGAGCATGCATTTTGGCATTGAGAGTCTAACGAGAAAGAGTACTTCTTATAACAATTTATCCTATTTCGATATTAGACTGAAAGTTCAAAAAATATTTTGGAAAAGCTTCAGCTAGACAAAAATAAAATTATCAAATAACACCACAAAGCTCCAAAAGTTTGGTTACTTGTCCACCTTTGCATCAAAAAAAGTTCAATGAAAATGAACCAAGTCAATCAGCTATAAAAATATAATTGGCATTTATTTCCTGTTAACGTTGCAAATATTCATTTAAATAATTTGATGCACGTGACTGGGGAAATGTTTGGTCTCTCAGAAAACAAAAATAATTTGAAGGAAGCATTTCAAAATTTAAATTTAGGAATCAAAATAAGAGGGAAAAAAACCGGTACTGGTAATTTAACCAAAACTAAAGAAGGATAGAAAACTCAATTTCAGCAGAAAATATGCGAGAACAATTCCTCAAGTAATGTTGAGATCTGTGCTATCAGAAGTTAAAATACCTGAAATGGAATCAAGTGCTAATAAGTCATAATCTGAGACGACTCCAACCTGCCAAGGGAAGCAAATTTATGTAAGGACACTAAGATCACATAAACCAAATCATTAAAAAAAAATAAGTGCCAT